GAGCCCTAACGAGCCTTGTATAAAATGTGCAACAAATAAATTTCTAACTGACACCACTCATTAGCGGTGGATATCGTATTTGCTCTAATAGAAACTCAACATGTGCACTATATACTAAACAATTAAAATATGACTGTCTGCACACCTGTCATACACAAGCGTACACACAATGGAGCAAATAAGACACCACACATTAGTTTTGTACTAAACACGTTTGGATATAAAGAAATCTAAGGGATTGTGACACATTAGTACATTTCTGGTACTACAAATGCAGTCTTATGGGGAGAGAAGAATAAATAACGAGTCAGGTGTCTGGAATCAAACGCACATTTTAATCAAACAAACCTTTCATCCCTCCTCAAATACAAAATAACCAATCAACATTTTAGCAATCATACAGATTCAGTTTTCTCGATCAATCTTAAATTCTGAACAGCAAAATTTATCAACAGCTTACGAGTGCTACATGTATCAACTCAACAGTGGAGTTAAGATATAACATACCATCAAATTCACATCTATAGCTGAGTACTTCCTGTATTAAGTGATAAATGTTTCTATTCTATATATTCTCATGAGATTTTAGATCAATCGTACATTAAGCCAAATTTGCTTCTGAAAATGTTGAATATATGCAAGCAAAACAGGAAAATATAAATCAGGATTGATTAAAAGTGAGCCTAATAATCACATTTCACTCACACAGTGACAGATATATTTAAATCTTCCCAACACTCTTACCATCCTGAACTTTAGCTTAATGTAACAAACCACAATATAAATTGTAAGAACACAGAAATACATTCTCTCAGATTCTGGAAATAAACACAAGACACAATAACTCAATTTAGTTTGAAGACTGGAATATTTGAATTCAAAACTCAATCATGCAAGCGTTTCTCCAAGATCAGCTCTGTAGGCATACTTGATCACATCTTCAGTCATACTTGTGGTGTTAGTTGTTTAAATCGCTCCGCTCTGACCGCCAGTCAAGGTAATAGCTTTCATTGAAGTGTGCTCATTCATGAACAGCTTTCATCCACAAGGCAAACAGTTTTATTCCTTCAGTATTGAGTTGCAACAATCTTGCTCACAAGCACAGGAATACACAGTTACATATTACTCAGTTCATTAAGTTCATGTACAGGGGCATTCTTCACTTGGTCAAAATCTTATTATAACCCAATCACCAAAACAAAGTATTCTCCATAATCAGATGTAAATACAGATGTCTCAAATAGCATCAGACGTAGCACATCTTGCCACCTATGCCTGTATTAAAGGAACTGTCACTGTATTTCATATCCAATAAATGAAAACATGGCTGAATACTAATTGAAAGGTACTGGCTTTTATTTAAAGTGTTGTCACCAGCGAATGCGCAGAATTCAAGTCCTGATTGACGATAACGCATGCTAAAAACGCATTGCTTATGGGTAGACGCTTGTTTGTAAATTTGCTTTAAAATTGGATTCAACTCTACAAAAAGTGCATTTATAATTTGATGCCAAATAAAAACAGATAATGATTTCCGAAGGATATTAACAGTGACAGTTTCTTCAAATCATACAATTGACTCTGAAATCACAAAATACTCTATAACTGTTTAAAACTATTGTTATCAACAAAGGCAATTCTCAAACCTCTCACATTTCCTTTCAAAGCTGCCAGCCTTTCAACAACCTTCTGTTTAGCCACAGTGAGAGCACATCATGCTACTTGCCAATGCTTAATACACTGATGATAATAGGGTTAACATATTTCATAATTTGAGAACACATCAAATATGCAAGCAAGTAATATTTTCCTTACTTCACAAACACTTTGTCTCTCATAAGTACAGTTCATCACTAACATTTTCATAAATCAATTACATAAAAGCAGGCAACCATGGGCTGATCTTCAATATTCAACAAAATTCACATTATTAATCTGTTTTGGGGATCAAGGCACTACAGCAGATGTCACAGCTTTGTTAGTCAATCATTCTGGGTGAAACTTTTAATTAAAACACCAAGATGCAAGAAATAATTTCCATTTAAAACTAAAGAATTTTGTAGTTTCCTAATGAGATTTTTGTAATTTAGGATCCGCAGAATAGTTATCTTACTAGACAGTGCTGTTCTAAACTTCTGCACATTTAGTTACACATTTATCACTGGGATATATACACAGTAATACAAAAAAAACTTCAAATCACAAATGTACTTCATTCATGAAGCAGTTACAAGCATCACATATACATGTGCAAGTGTACAAAACATTTGTGTATATAAACTGAAATCGTCTACATTGCAAGTACATACATAATGCAACAATTACACTCAAATACACTGTATGGGATGAGGACAAAGAAAATCTCAAGTTCTCTAGTTTTAAATCAGGAGTCTCACTTCGAATAAAAAAATAGTGAACAGGGGTTGTAGTTCAAAAATATGGTAAGGTATGACTAAACAAATTACTCATTAAAATGGCAGTTGCGCAAGCTCTTTGAAAATTATAATTAGACATTTTTTGAACTGTTTTGTAGGTGCATAAAACCTTTACGGAATTATGGTGGTCTTAATTTTGCAAGAAAAATCTACTATTGCGAAATAAAGTCAGTGACAAGCCAGTTATTTTGATTATCTACTTTACCAACACTGGTACATTCTAATCCTGGCTTCAAATGCAGAAAAAATAATTATTTTCTCAATTAGTTCGATAAAATAGGTCATAAATGTTGTATCGGATTCCAAACTAATGTAATTATAGAAAGACAGTGAAGACTATATACAATAGTTGATGAGAAAAACCATAACAGATTTGAATTACTATGACAAGCTACCAAGTACCACTTTTGTTGGCACCACCTTGCCCATAAAACCCATCACCCATACCTACCTGACTGCCACTTTGTCCCATTCCAGCATCACCC